AAATTATCCTGCGTATGTCACGGTATGTGCTATCGGTCTCTTTCCTGGTGGAGAGATCGTGATCTCCAAGAATTGCTCTGATTCTGTCCGCTCTCATGGACGACCTAACGAAAACGAAATAGAAAAGATTAATTAACAATTTTAAAATAATATTATATCGTGTCCCCAAAGTTGTATGTTCGTAGGAAGGATCATTGATTTCGTATATCTGAAGTCGTAAGCCGGTACGAAAATCATAGCTGCGAAAGCGAAGATTTTAAATTGATCATGAAATTCAATCTATTGAGCAAAAATCTTAATATTAGTTCGTATTTCATTCTTATATCTTAGTTCTTTCTTAATTTATGTTTTCTTAATTGATGCTTTCTTAATTGATTAGCATATAACAATAGTTCATACCCGAGGACGCAGTGAGCTGCTGTCAACACGAAGCTGTCACTGATGAGTGAGGCTCCGCAGAAGAAGGCAGACTTGGATTTATTTTTTCCTGGTTTTATGTGGAAGAGTGCAACCTAAAAAAAATATAACTCAGTACTCACTGCAGTGAGTGACATAGAGCGCATTTTCTCGTCGACGAAAACGTGAAGTCACGGACGGACAGACGGACGGACAGACGGACATGGCGAGCACAATAGTACATTTTTTTCATAAATGAGAAAATGCGCTAAAAAGCAGTTAACTTGCGCTTTAAACTCTGAGTGAAAGTGAAGGAAAAAGCAAGGATTTTTGCTATGGGCCAAGGGCCGAATTTCATGATGCGAATCAAGTTCAAGAATCACTTCAAATAGCATATTTATTAATATTGACATGATAAATTAAGACTAGCTAATGAAATCCTATTGACATATAGATACTAAATTTTATGTGTAATTCTGTCAAATAATAGAAATTCTATACAAAAGTTCACTTGAAGCATCAAATTCACCCAAGCTCGTCATTCTCGCCGAGATTATTATACTTGTATCATCAAATTCACCCGAATTTGAAATCTGTCAGAACCTAAATTAACTGCGTCATCGAATTTACCCGAACTTAAAATAACTGCGTCATTAAATTTCCCCGAAGTTAAAAATACTGCTTCATTAAATTCACCAGATGTAAATAAAATGCGTCGTTGATTTTACCCGAACTTAAAATAACTGCGTCATTAAATTCATTAGAAGTTAAAATAAATGCGTCGTTGATTTTACCCGAACTTAAAACATCTGCATCATTGATTTCTCCCGAAGTAAGAAATAATTCTAGAAATCTCTATTGAGGAATCATTATACTATATACACAGATGTATAAATAATTTCACCATTTTTGTGTTAGCTGTCACGTTCGTATACCAAGTTTCCGTTCTTTACTCCAGTTCAATTTCTTTAAATTGATTTTGGACAGGGGATATAATTAATACCGATATTTATTTCTCTTTTTATGTAATTTCTCGAGTTTCTCACCAATTCAGAGATTTATTCTTACCAAAAACTCCGGCAATTAACCTCTTAGTATCAACGGTAAAAAATGTCCCCAAAATTCCCCCAAAAATAAGAAAATTTATAATTATTTGGGGAGACTTATATGAAGGAAGCGAAAATGTTTAAGTGAGATGCCACTCGCCTGCCAAGGATACTCGTGGATATTGGCATAGACTCCATCCACGATCCTCGGCACAAATGAAANAAGTTATGTTCCCGGAGAGTGACATACGGCGGTAGAGGGTTAAAATGTTCTCTGTTGCGTACAAACGTCCTCAGGTTGCTACACTCAATAGTTTACGTATAATTTAAGTTTATAGTTATCTTCCCGGAGTTATTTGTACGGTGGAATAGGGTTAAACAGAAATGGCAGAGTTACCCTGACGTGAGGCGCCGGGGTGGTGGTGGAGACAGGGACATACTTGGGTGGATCTCTGATCCTGAGACCAGCGCTGCTGGGAGCTGAGTGGAGGAGGGATAAGTTACGTCTTTTATTCACGTATCGTGAGAAGAAGCATTAAACGATTTATAATCATTTATAATTTATATATATATTATATTTATAATTAAACGATTAATAATCATTTTTAAACATATCAGTGTTCAATAGTCAGAACAGGAGCGATTCTTGGTCATTGTCAAGAAATTTAAAACAGAAGTGCAATGGAACAATAAAGTCTATTGTAATTAGCTGGCTTAAAACGCAATTTAACAACGAATTCAATAGTAAATAAAATGTCAAGTATATTAATCATAATTTAATTTAAAACTTTTTCAGTAAATTTATGGTAAGTTTAGTTTTAAATATAAAACTATTAATTACTCACACACAAACGGAGGCACGGCGGCGCAGGCGAACTGCGTGGCAGTGATGGAGAACTTGTGCCGCCCCTGAGCTACCAACGAAAGCGTCACGTCGCTCAGCTCCTTCACTGCGAATGTCGCTGAAATTTTTAGGTAAAATTTATTATATGAACGAAATGATGGTAATTTAAGTATAGTTATGCGGATACCTCTCTTAAATTACTTTGTAGTAATTCAGGAGACGGATAGCCACCCAAGGACCTTCGGCATTGCGAATTTTCAGAAAAAAAAACGCTTGGACGTAAAATCTATCGTCTGGGCCTTCATTGATCCATACGGTACGCAGTCTACTGACTATGTGGCGCATATCAGTGGCGAGCCTTGAAAACTCGTCGTCGGATCTACCATTTCTTAATTCATGTACAACCCTTTGAGACTTTCCTCCAGTCAAGTAGCCTAACAGATAGAGATAAGAAGATTGAAGAGACTAGAAGGACACTTGCGTGACGAAAATCCAAAAACAGTTCGGATGATTCTACCTCCAAGCACAAGCAAAAATTTTCAAAGTAAATACTATTTTTGTCCCAAACAGATAGAAGTTGTTTGGGCACTCTGACTGCCATGACCACAAAATACAGAAACATAATTCTTGATCATAAAGTCATGAAAAAAATGTTTGTCGATTTTTCTATTTTAATGCTAGCGGGATGCATTAAAGATACTTTTTATTTGATGAAGCTCATACACGTAGATGAAGGTTATTCTAGTGCTCGAGTTCAATATTGACGCAACTCAATTTTGACGATGTATTGTGCTTTGGATGTAATGGCCTAATGGCCCTGAAAGCAATTGCCCTATAAATTATCTAAATACTTTATTATAATTGTATCTAATGTGTATACGCACTTGCAAAGCCGGTCATGTTGCCACACAGGGAAGCTGTAGGCCCCTCAACCGTGCCCAGGATCACGAACATGTCGAAAATACAGCCGCTCTTTGTCGCAGNATTGCTACAGCTATTGGGTTTACGAAAACCGAATATAGAACTGTACACTTTTCGACAAATGATAAAATTTAGAGCTGTGTGGTTAATTGCAAGCGTCTCCCACACGCACAGCTTTTCAAAAGAAGCATTCCATCATCGACAGCATATTAATTGAAACTATCATGCATTTCCTTTAAAACAATATTAAACGGTCATAATTACCGAGCGTTCAAATAATAGTAATCCCGTATGGATAATATATTAGAAGTATTTTGAAGACAATTCTTTTCTGTCTGCGTCGCTGGTAAACTATTTGTCAGTATTGGCGGCCACGTAAGGGGTCATCAATTTTTCGACTTCTGTATGGAAATAAACTTTTTTTCTAAGTAAATGAACATTTATATTGCAGCAGCATTGAAGGTTTTATTTATTTTCAATGAGACTCTGTGAAAAATAACATTAACTTAGCATTGCGCTCTACTGAGCGGACTGAATTTATACATGAAAGTACAATTAAATTCACACTTAAATGAATTTAGAAATGTTATATTGAATGCATACAAGCATGAACAACAAAATATATACTGAAGTCTAGTAGAAGATTGATCGACAAGGTTGCTTCGTTCTTGTTTAACATGGAAACTGGACCTGTTGAGACTCAAAGGCCCGCTGAACCTGTTGAGACTCACAGACCCGCTGGACCTGTTGAGACTCAAGGATTCACTGGACCTGTTGAGACTCACAGGCCCGCTGGACCTGTTGAGACTCACAGGCCCGCTGGACCTGTTG